GGAAAAGAATAACTTTACAGCGGAGAAATCTGACAAACACCATCTCAGCCAGGTGATCAAGGTCAACGTCAACGGTGATAACTCATGTTGACAGTATGAGCTCTGGATAAGACTTGATGAAAATGGCACTTTACCTTTGTGCTCTTTCTCCCCCAAACCCCTGAACCCAGTCTAATTATGAGAAAAAACAGCAGACAAATCCCAGTGGAGGGACATTCTACAAAATAATTGACCAGAACTCCGCCAAACTGTCAAGATTATCAAAAGCCAAGAAAGTCTGAGAAACTGTTACAACCCAAGAGGAGCATAAGGAGATATGACAACTAATGTAATGTAAGATCCTGCATGGGATCCTGGAAGAGAGAAAGGATATTATAAAACATGGGAAAATCTGAATAAAGGCTGGACTTCAATTAATAATAATGTATCAGTATTGGTTCATTAATTGTAGCAAATGTACCATACTAACGTAAGATGTTAACAATAGAGGAAAGTGGGTGTGGAGTATGGGAACCCTCTGTACTATCTTTGCAATTTTTCTGTAAATCTAAAATTATTTTAAAACTAAAATGTTTATTTTTTAAAAAAAAGGCCAGATCATGCCATTAAGTAAGTAGGATTCCAGAGTGATTCCTGTCTGTACAGGGAGGAGGGGATCAGAATAGAATATGGAAAGCAGAGCTATTTACAGTTCTCAACATGACTTGTCTTCCCATAAAGGATGGGATTGTTATTCTAATAATGATTGCTGTATTTTCTTGATCACATTAAGTCAATATATTAGCTAAATAGTTATAAGTTAGTGTTACTCTCCAAAGGCATAGAATTTTCCTTGGAAAGAACCAGTATGGCTCAGTAAAGAGTCTTCGTCCCAGTTTCACAAGCCCATTCCAGAGAAGAATTTCTGAAAAGTGTGGTCCCCTTCTTAGTGGCTCTCTAAGGGCTTCTAGTTTGATTTCTAACCTCTGCAGAACCACAACACCGCCCCAGGCAGCTGCAGCAGGTAGACATCCAAGCACAGTGTTTTCTGGAAAAAGTCTGCACTTGCCTTATCTGTGTTTTGATGATCACGGCTCATTACACTCGAGCAACTAAATAGTTCAGATGAAAAGATGCTGTACAGTGAGGGGCCAGAGTTCCACGGTTCAACGAATTCCATGTTCAACGAATTCCATGTTCAACAGCAAAGAATCAGTCCTGTCATATTCCCAATGGGGCAATGTGCCAGTCAAATCTATTCCTCCGCCTACCCCTGTGCTGATCACTGGGGAGCAGACCCCTGCCAATTGTGTTTTCCAGGCTTCCAGGTGAGTTTGGCTAAGGGGCAGCACTGGCAGGAGATTGAGGAGTGGGAATAAGGGAGAAGCCAGGATCTCTCTCCCCTTCTCTCTCTGCCTCATGGGGCACCTCAGCAGCTGCTTCATCTCTTGCATGGCTCCAGCTCCCACCAGACAGGCCCACCATGGGTGCTGGGTGACCCAGCTCCAAGCTCTGGTAGCGCCCCTCTTCCATCTGACTCCCCAGCCTAAGGGAGTAGTGGCCTCCTGCTGTTGCTGACTTCTGGATTCCTTCACTGCCCTTCGTTTGGCTTCTCAGAGCTTTCATCACCTGCTTAACCAATTCCCTGTATTAAATACTCTCTATTTAAAATACTTAGAGTGGATTTTGATTTCCTGATTAAGCTCTGCAATGTCTTAAGACTTGATTTTTTTTCATTCTCATCCTGTTCAAGGAAAAGAAACACACACACATTTGGAAGGCACTTTGCATCTGTCTTCCTCATTTTATATCATAACCTTCAGTGTTTATCAGGAACATGGGAGCTGAACAAGGTGGATCCCTCTCACTATAATGAAGTAGGGAAGTTGTAAGAGGACCTGAGAGAATGATCTAGAGAAGTGTAGTTGATCTTTATATGACCTCCTGGCCGAACAACCCCAGCAAAATCATTAAATGTATCTCCTCTAAAACAAACACATTTTTTGACTGCACATTTTCAAGACTCTCTGTGGTCACACAGTGAAGGAAGAAACATTTTTCTCTGCTCAGGGAGAGTCTCAGGGAGTCATCCTGGTATTTCTAGGTTAACTAGGTGAACTACAAAGAGAGCTTCCTTGGTGGTTAAAAGACTCCATTGTTATGAGATTTTAGGATTATTGTAGCTTTGGTTTAATATTGGCATCTTCACGTGGTCACTAGATGCAGTGGCTTGGGTATTTTAGAGAGCTAGAGTGGTTTTGCAGTGATTAAGGACTATTTGGTTGAAGGTCCGTTGGTTGTTTGGAGAGCATCATTGCTGTCCAACGTAATAGACTTTGCTTAAGTTAACCAGATCCTTTAAGACTAAAAAGTTCACTTTGTTCTAAAATAAGCAATTCAGATTCACCCAAGTTTATCCAAAAAGGATCAGTGCTCTATTTGACTCCTTGCTACATTGATGTAACATCAGTGTCCTTTCAGCACTGAACATTCTGGATTTGTGGATAGTGTAAATTCCAGAAAGCAAGTTCTCTGAGGGCCAAGCAACTCAGACTCGGGTGATCGTATGTGCAGGAATCAGTATATGAATTCACAATTACATATAGATTCTGTCGTGTAAGATCCTGAACAGTAAGTTTCACTAAATTGCTTTTTTATCACTTAAAAACTGCTTCATAAAAATTAGAAATTCAACAAAATAGTTTTATTGTTTTTCTTTGCTTTTATCAACATGTTGCAATCATATATATTGAAGGACAAATTCTTCCCAGAAGATACACAGAAATAACTCTTAGAAATACCGTTCTTGAGCACATGATGACTCATAACTGCAAAAGGACAAGATACATGTATCAATCAGCAAACGCAAAGGCTTGAAGTAGTCGCCATCTTTCACAGCTCAAACTTTTCCTACAACAGACGTACAATTAAACAAGTTCACATGGATGTTAGCAAAAAGAAACCAATCTTGGCCTCCACGGCCCCAATTTGCTGTGATGGCTTAAAAATATATGAAGGATTTTTTGACACACACTGGCTCACAAACTTTGGGCTGTATCAAGAGTACCTGGAAGATTGGGACAATGCAGATTCTTGGCTCTATGTACTAGATATTTGGTAAGTGATTAGGATCCCAAAAACCTGCAATGGAAACAGGTTCCCTGGTTCTGATGCAGGGAGCTCTCCAGACCTTGTTTTGAGAAATGCTGGAGGAGGAGCTACTCAGGAGAAGACACAGCCCCAAGCCTTGAACATACCATGTTTTTACCTTAAAGCCAATTTCAAATTTAATTTGACAGGTGCCGCCAGTTGTACAGCAGTCGGATTAGCTGATGGAGGGTACATATCACAGGGCTAGGACAAAACACTCCTCACTTGGTCCATGTGTGGCGGCTCCTTGATGCCTTCGCTCATGTGAGACTCTTGTGGGGCCAGCTGAAGCACCTCATGCACTTTCATTCCATGTGTTCTTTTCCAAGGAGAGAAAGATCATTTGAAGAGCAAATCAGTTGCCTTCCTCAACCAGGGTCCCTGGGGAGACCCAACAAGTGTTTTTGAGAGCTTGGCACTCTGCCCAAGCCCAGAGGTACTGTCCTAGCTGGTGTCTGGACAAGGTGTGACAGTCTGGGCCAAATCCGGAATGGACTTCTGAAAGCCGGTATTGGAGCGCTCATGATTGAGACCCGCCAAATTATGCATCAGGAATGTCTAGTTACTTCCCCACGAACAGGGGCAGCGTTTAACAAAAAGACACAGCTCTGAAAATTGAGAAGTTCCATGCATTATCCATATTCATTAAAACTGGAACAAAACCCCAGGAAATGCAGACACCTCCTGTCACTAACACTTCACCTTTTTCCTGTGGTTACTTAATATAAATGCCACAGATGCTATTCGACAAGGACATACCACATGGCAGCATCTGCCAGGCCACTGTCCCCTTTCTTCTTGTCCAGCCTGCTGCTGGGCGGTGGGAAGAGAGGTGTGGGGGTGGCAAATTAAACAAAACCTTTAAAAACAAGATTCTGGCTGGGACTTCCACCGCACAGATTACCAAGCAGATAGGCATTTTATTTTGCTAAATGAAAGGGCTGGTTTATATCTTCCCTCGATCATTTTCTAACCTAACTGCAATGGGAACATTCTCAGAAAGAAAGACTTTCTTGTTTGTTTGCCCTTTATATCGCCACTCGTCGTCCCACTCCTAGAACTCGGGCAGAGATCCGCTTCTTCTGCTTGGGGACCAGGCCAGCTAGCAAGCTCCTCGAGGAGCTGACCAACACCAGTGTTTCTTCAGATCACTGTCAACTCAGAAGCCCTCAGTAGCGTCGTGTTTAAACGTAGACCACACTCCAAGCCCATCTTTTGTGGATGGAAATGGTCCATTTCACTGGCTCTTCTAGACAAGCAACCACAGCTAACACAAACTGTATAAATTCAATAGACTAGTTTTGTTTGTTTCTTTTGGGTTTGTTTGTTTGTTTTGCTGTTAAGCATCTAGCAGTTTTCTTCTGAAAGAAGCCATGAAAAGACGGCTCCCCAAGAACCACAGGGCATCCCTTTCAACTGGTCCATGGAAGATTCCCTTTTACCATCAAACCCCACGGTTTCCTTCTCATAAAATAAATGTTAGCAGGTGGCAGGGCCTGGGTGCCGATTCTTCCTATTTGCTATTTTCCTCTTCTTCCTCTGGCAGCAGTGGTGTGGCAGAAACAGACCCACCCCGAAAGCTTTTGCATCTCAATTCCTCTTCTACACACATGACTGTCGGCAAGTTTCCGAGCTGTTCTGAGCCTCCCCTCCTCCACTGATAAAACGTCATGGGCAATCCCTCACAGGATTTGGGGCTGAATTCCGTGAGGTGGCGACCTAAAGGATGGTGCTTGCTTTTTCTTTTGTCTTTTTTCCACAAGAAGGGGAGAGATTCAGGGATGGGGGAGACATGTGGTTGTCCACTTGGTGCTTGGGAAATCTGTTCTTTAGTGAAATTTTAGGGTGTCCTCATTCTAGCCCACAATTACGGTGATGTTTCATCTTGTTCTCTGCAGAGATATGCCTGTCTCGATCTGAGTGTGCGGCACACGGTCCAGAGGGGACCTTCCAAACGGCTTCTTTGATGACCATGCTGATGAAGCCATTTCCTGCACAGACGAACACAGTCATGCTTCTCACTAAGTGATCTGATTTCACAGGAACGCTCTCTGTATGTATTTTGAATGTAAATAAAAGGCAACATTTAAAACTGTCATTTTAGAGATCCACAGATAGGATCATAAGAGGTCTGCATACATCTATGAAATTGTGTGAATACTTGTGTGTACTGTGTATAAAATCAGGTTCCCAAAGCAATAGCTTCCAGTAACAATATAACGTGAGTCATGTGTAATTTAAACATTTCTAGCAGCCACACTAAGAAAAGTAATGAAATTAATTTTAATATCACTTTATTTAACCCAATATACCTAAAATATTATCATTTGAACATGTAATCGATATAAACAACTATTAGTGAGATATTCTACATTTTTTTCTTTTTTTTACCAACTTCACGTTCTAGTGTGTGTCTGAACTCAGATTAGCCCTATTTCAGGTGCTCGATCGTCACAGGTGGCTGGTGGCTCCCGTATAGGACAGTGTACATCTATAGTTTTTTTCAGATTTTCACATCCCACTGATAACAAGCAGTGTCACAATGTGACACTATCATTGAAAACGCCAAAAGTGAGCTCTTGGTAGTCCCAATAACAATTCAAAGTTCTCCTTATCAGCTCAAAAGGGCTTTCAGATAAATGATCTTGTCAGATCCTCATAACAGCCCGTGACATGGACAGGGCAGATGTCATTTCCTCATTTCATAGCTGAGAAAACCAAGGCTTAAAAATATTAAACAATTGGCCAAAGTCACATGGCTAGAAGTTGGTGGATTAGGAAATTGAACTGGGTCTTGGGACTACCTCCCTGGGTCTAGTTTAGAGGGAGGCAGCTGCCTCCCTCTGTCATCGCACTGCTGTGGAAGAGGCTCTCGGTTGCATCCCTCACAAAGCAGCAAGATCCGAGCAGGCAGGAACTAATAGTCCTCCTGTCCACTGCTGCATCGCCAGCACCTAATACAGTGCCTGGTGCCTACTTGATGAATTAAATTCAACTGAACCAAAAGAGTGATCCACACCAGACACCCTCATAGTCATCGCCCAAACCACTGCATCTCTGGGACCTTTGGGTGAAGCCAAAACCACAAAACCACCTACATGCTGAGGTCTTGAGTTGCCTTTGTCCGCTTTGCACTTTTAATGGAAATTTACATCTCCAGTGGAAAAATGTAGCCTGAAAGTAGACTCAGTCTGACTTGTGGTTTGGGTGTCAACCTCCATCCACCCAAGACTCCTGGGAGGAGCCCAGGGCCACCCCAGGAACCTGATGAAGCTACAGTACAAGGGAAACACTTAAGTGACCCTCCACCTTGCCAGCTGTGTTGGGTTGAGTCATGAAGACCTGCAAAAGTGCTAAACTCCCTGACAAGGGGTGTCAGAGGATGGCTTGAAACCTTGGTGGAGACACAGCCCTGTTCACAGCTGGTCCTGGCACAATGTGCAGCTGGCCCTGGCTCACACCTACCCCCGTCAGCACCAGCCTCCTTCACTGAAGGTCTCTTGCCTCCCTGTGTGGCAGCCTGGCCTCCCACATCTGGGTTACTGTGCCAGCATGTAGCGGAGAGCCTGGGCCAGGTGCTGTGAGCTACTATCTTCCCAAAGGTGTTAGGAAGTCAGAGCTAGGCAGAGATGCAGGATCGACACTTTCTGCCCCATGCCCTCATCGGCTGCTCCTTGCCAGCTTACCACTAGACACCAAAGAGAAATTTAGAGCAGGGAGTACAAGCAGAAGCTTATTCTGAACTTTCCATGAGCTCCTCATATCTGATTGGCAAACAGTCTACAGCTGAGGACCCCACATGTGCCCCTTGAAATGCAAACTGGGGTCCAACTGCATCCCATGCTGTTTCTCTCAAGTGCGTCCTATTTTCTGTGATGCTCCTCCATGAATTTTTCTGGAGGACACCCAAAATCCACATTTTGGTTGAAATAATAATTTTTTAAAGGTTTGTTAAAAGAACAAACTGACCTAAATACAGTGAAATAGTCAAAATTCATTCAGTTAATCACCGAGTGCCGCCTGCCCCTGCCCAGCAAAGTTCTAGGCACTGGTGACACTAAGGGGTTAAAACATAAAATCTCTTGTAAAGTTCACAATCTATGGGGGTTGGGGGGTGATGAGGGGATGGAAAATAAATAAGACAAAACTCAATAAGATCTCGCTAATAGTCATAAATGCTATGAAGACATTAAAACAGGGTAATGGGGCACAGAATCATGTCGGGATAGTGAAGACCAATCAGAACGGGGGTCTGAGAAGGTCTTTTGGAAGAGGTGACATTAGGCTGTGCAATGAGTGACAAGAAGCAGCCAGCCATGTGAAGGTCTGGGAAGGAATGTGTTGAGCAGAAGGAACAGCCAAGGCAAGAGTGAGCTTGGAGCATTGCGGGAGGCCAACATGGCTGGAGCATGGTGAGCAAGGAGGAGAGAAGTGAAGAAGGATATTGAGGGGTCATTAGGGCCCAAAAGGAAAGCAGGGAGTTGTGGGGGCTGCCCTCAAGAATGTCTCAGTCTAGAGGAGGAGCAGGCACAAAATAGGTAGGACTCACGTCGGGGTGAGTTAAGTTTTACAACAGAGCTTTCAACTAAAGGCTGAGACAGCAGTCAGTGAGAAAAAGTCATTCTGCTGAGGAGATGGAAGGGTTCAATGAAGTTGCAGGGGGCCGAGCCTGAGGCTTTGGGGAGAACACATCTTGAGTTTGGTCCCCAGCTGACTTGAATTTCTCAACCACTGCATGAGGTTACTCTGATACTAAATAACCATTCTCAATCTCCGCATCTCCATCGAGGGCACAATTAATGTCTTCTAGAGACTTGTACCCTGGCCATAGGGTATAGAGCCAACCTTTCAGTAAGAATAATACTTTCGCTTCCATGTGGGTCATAGCAGAAGGAAGACATCTGACTTCCTCGATGTAGAGAGTTCAGAAGATGCTGGAAGCCGCAGAGGGGAAGGCCTTATTTCCTGGTTGGATACTAAGAGACACATCCAGGGTGGAGCCCACTTTGGCAAAACTGTGAGGCCTTCCCGATTTGCAGGGATCAGAGCAGGTCAGAACTGCACGAGACCAAACTCATCATCCAGTCTAGCATCTCCCAACTCGAAGGTGCTCCTGGGGCAGCAGCATCAGTAAACGGGGAGCGTGTTGGAAACGCAATCTCCAGCCTCATGAGCTCATGAACCACAACCTGCATTTTCACAAGATTGCCAGGTGATTCGTGTGCATATTTCAGTTTGAGAAACACTGCTCTAGAGATTCTTAGCCTTCAATGGGCAACAAAATCACCAAACTAGTTTGAAAAAATACCATACAAATGCCTGCCCCCCACCCCCACCACAGGGATTTGGTTTCAATTGGTCTGGGGCCCAGAGAGTGTTTATGTTGTTGGCTTTTTTTAAAAAGGTCCCTGCATGGCCAGGCTGGCTGAGGTTGAGAATCTCTGATGTAATTTGAAGTCCTTATTTTACACATGTGAAACTCAGGCTCAATAAATTGAGGCAATTTATATCTTGTTAAAATGCAGGCATCTTGTTACAAAGCAGATTCTGGGACTGGGCCCAAGATTCTGCATTTCTAACAAGCTCCCAGGTGAGGCTGACACTGGTCCTTGGACCATACTTTGAATAGCAGGTCTAATGATTAATTTTGTGTGTGCACTTGGCTGGGCCATGGGTGCCCAGATATTTGGTAAAACATTATCCTGGGTGTGAGAGTGTATTTGGAGGGGACTAACATTTAAATTGCTGGACTTCGAGTAAGCAGATTGCTCTCCATAAAGTGGATGGGCCTCACCCAATCAGTTGAACACCTGATTACAACAAAGACCAGCCTCCCACAAACAGGAGAGAATTCTTCAGCAGACTGCCTTTGGACTCAAACTGGAACATTGGCTCTTCCAGGTCTCTTGGATTTCTGGCCTACCAGCCCACCTTGAAGATTTTGGACTTTCCAGCCTCTATAATCATGTGAGCCAATTCCTTATAATAAATCTTATACAAATTCCTTATAATAAATATATATATGTATATATATACACACACAAATTTTATATGATTTATATAAATCTTATATAAGATATATAAATGTATCATATAAATAAAACAGATTTATACTTTATTTGAACGTATACAAATCTTATAATAATTTTTATAATAATCTTATAATAAATCTCTTTTTATATATAAATAATATATATAATATATAAATCCTATTTGTCCTATTTCTCTAGCTTGACTAATAGAGTGTGGTTGCAGAGTGCTTTGTTGGGATTACAATTCCTGTCATGGTGCACAATTCACACCAACCATTCCCTGTCTTCTGCCAACTCAACCCAATTGAGATAGGAAACCCAAAATCCAGGAACCAAAGGAAGAACTATGAGAACTCTGGAAGAACAACTGATATATATGTGTGTGTTGGGTGGGGGAGGGAGGTTTTCAGCCTGGGGCAGGGGCAGCTGCTAGTGCCACTCTAGGGGAATAAAGTAGAAAAAGTAGCTTGAGTTCTGCCCTTCTTCCCTACCATTGCCTTGGGACAATCAATAGCTGCCCTCTCCCTTTAGAAATTGGCGGTAATGATCCAGACTGCTCATTAAAGAGCAAAATTGAGGAAGCCCAGAAGCCCTGTTCCAGTGAAATGTTTCTGAACACAAATTAAGGCTGAGTACCCTCTGCATTCCATGCCCTTCCAACCCCGGGGTTGTTGATGATAATCTGTGAGTGCTTCTCCCCAGTGCTGCTTCCCCCTGAGAATCTCAACAGGAAGATTTGGCCTCAACAGTTGCTTGGTGAGTGATATCAAATGGGAGTATCCTATTTGGGGTTCTTCCCTGGACTTACCACTTTTCTTTCCTCCTTCATCAGACTATAGGAATATAAAACAAAAATAAAGAGAAACACAAGGTACAAAATTTATATAGTGGGAATAAGTAACCCAATAAGTGGACTACATGGTTAAATAGATACAGCTGAAGAATGAATTAGTGAGTTGGAAAATCAGATAGAGGAACTCT